AGGGGGCTGGGGACAGGGGTATGACAGAGGTTCGGGTGGGGGTATTTAGGAGATTGGGACTGGGGGGAATGCCCAGGTGTGGGATGGGGGCATAGAGGTGAGACCAGGGGCAGGGGATTGGGGGAGTGGGATAGGGAGATGAGGGGTTGGGGTGCAGAGTGATGGCAAGCGATGAGGGGGAAGGGGGGGGGGTTAAAGGTAGAGAAGGTGAGGTAAAGAATAAGGGGTAAAAGGGAACTAGGGAATTAGAGGAAGAGGGAGAAGTTGGGGGCAGAGGTACGGTGAATGGGTATAGGGAATGCAGGGAAGGCAGATGGGGAGAGGTACGGGTCCTGGGACATGTGTGTGTGTGGGGGGGGGGGGGGGGGGTAGTCAGGGATGAGACCGCAGGTGATCTCAGAGTTGTAGTATTCCGGCCGGTGTAGTCCCTGTCGCTCTCGCTCTCGTTCTCTTCTCCCTTCTCTCTCTCTCTCCTCTCTCCCTCTCTCTCCTCTTTTTTTTTTCTCTCTCTTTCTCTCACTCTCTCTTTCTCCTTCTCCCTCTCTCCTCTCTTTCTCTTTTTCCTTGCTTTTCCCTGTCTTTCCCCATTATCATTCTCTCTCTCTCTTTTTTCTCTCTCTCTCTCCTCTCTTTCTCTTTTCTCTCTCCTCCCCCCCCCCCTCTCTCTCTCTCTCTCTCTCTCTCTCTCTCTCTCTCTCTCTCTCTCTATCCATCTATCTATCTACCCCTCTCTCTCGCTCTTTCTCTCTTTTTCTCCTTTTCATTGCTTTTCTCTCTCTCCTCTCTTTCTCTCTCACTCTCTCTTTCTCCCTCCCTCTCTCTCTCTCTCTCTCTCTCTTTCTCCCTCCCTCTATCCATCTATCTATCTAACCCTCTCTCCCTCGGCCTTTCTCTCTCTTTCTCCTTTTTATTGCTTTTCCCTGTCTTTTCTCATTCACGAAGATAATAATGTGTAATTTTCCTTAACCGCCTCTGTTTCAAAGCGTATCGATAATTGACCTTAAAATCCAGATGTATCTTTTCCTTCGAACTCAAACTTTTTCTGAACTGACCAATCAGGGCTTCGTAAAGACTGGATTCTGTTCCATCAGCCAATCACCGCTATTTCTCCGTATTATCGGTTAAGAGGAAATATTTGTCGTGAAAACAATACGAGGCAATCATGAGAAACTGAAAATGAAATGGTCGCTTATGCCAGACGTTGATTGATTCTGCAGAAAAATAATTATATTATATAACATTTCTCTCTCACTCTCTGTCTGTCTGTCTGTGTCTCTCTCTCTCTCTCTCTCTCTCTCTCTCTCTCTGTCTCTACCTACCTACCTACCTATCTCAGTCTGTCTGTCTCACTCTCTGTCTCTCTCTATCTCTACCTACCTACCTATCTATTTCTGTCTGTCTCTCTGTCTCTGTCTCTGTCTCTCTCCCTCTCTTTCTCTCTCTCTCTCTCTCTCTCTCTCTCTCTCTCTCTCTCTCTCTCTCTCTCTCTCTCTCTCCACACACACACACACGCATCTGTCTGTTTATATCGTTCACTCTGTGTATCCACACATCTGTTCATCTAATTATCATTAATTATTATGTTCATCTAATTATTCATCTATATGTTATATTCTAAGTACACATCACACACACTTTATCTATATCACCAACGCTACACGAATTCGAATGAATAGATTATCGAATAATATCAAAAGACAGTTGAGCTGAACAGAACCATCGATTCCCATAAGCACACAATACTCCCTGCCGTTGTCTATCGACGTCGACAAAGGTATTCTCCTGAGGGCCTTCCTGATGTTAGTTTCCACGAGCGACTGATGCGATGTCATTAGTCCGGCGACGTCTTCGAAATGATTGATGATGTCCGTGGAAAGTGTTTGGGGTGGAGGATGAAAAATATCGTGCGTTCTGGGAGGATGAGGATGGAAATAGGGGAGAGGGTGAAGGCGAGGATGCAAATCCCTCGGTCTTCTTTGTCTCGGTTTGTTTGGCGCTTTCTCCATCCCGTCTCTTTCTCTTTTGGTTTCTCTCGCTCTTTTTCTTCATCTCTCTCTCCCTCTCTCTTTCTCTCGTTCTCGTTCGCTCTCCC